AATTCTCTCGTTTCCCTCTCAGTCTTCTCCTGTCCCATACATATTATGATGAGAGGTAAGAAAGTACTGGTTCAGGCCTAGCTCACAGAAGGCACTTAATGATTACCTGTTGACCAGTTGACTGCTGAATTCACAGACCCTTTTTAAGAATTCTGAGTCTTGTGTTAAAATTTGAACTAGATTTAGATCATTTGTACTTCAGTATGAATAAGTGTCAGACCCTTTCCCAAGGTAGGATGTAGGACAGAGCACAGAGCATGGTGAAAACTGGGGGAAATGAGCATGCAAACAAGAGGTGAGAGAGTCAGAGACCAGCTTCGTTTCTGCAGCTGTGATGGAGAAGCTCCATGGACCACCATGGAATCAAGTTTCCTGCACATGCTTGGGAGCCATCCATTGATGCAAAGCATCAGTGAATTTTTATTTTGAAAAACAATTTATAGAAAAAACTGTTGAGCAGAGAAAGGGTAAACTAGGACAGGCAGGTAAACTAGGATTTGTGTGATTTCCAAATGCTTATTAAACATGTTGCCAAAACTCCCAGAGTGTATAACAACCTGCTGGGGATTACAGCTGGGGATTAATTTAGATTTATATAGAATCTAAGCTTCCATATCAGCCCTGAGGTGCCAAAGAAATGGATTGTTAGGTTGAGCTTTAGGGATAACCCGGGGACTTGGACTTAATAAAGCATTTCAGAGGGGATCCGAGGCTTTGGGATGATCAGGTTCTAACTAATTCCTAATCTTTGTATACATTTGATTGCTCACTCAGCACCGTGACTCATATCATCACCAGGCACGCTGTGTGAAATGATTCCCCTGACCTCCTCCACAAACCCCCCAGCAAGTCATAAAGATTGTCCTATTGGAATTCAACTGAACATTGCACTTCAATGTTCTTATCTACAAAGTCTGCTGTAATAAATACTGGATATCATAGGACCTTGAGTCAATTTATCCTTATGTGTTCTCATTTTTATTATTGAAATTTAAAACTGTATTTAGTTTATGGATACCAAAATGTTCACTGGGAAAAGAAAATACAATTTCATAAAAGCTGTTGTCTCTGTAATCTCTAGCAAAGTATATGAGATCTATTTAAAATGTCAAGAGATCAATTCATTGTGAAAAGTTTCCTCCCAGCCAACGTGCAGTGAATTATTTAAAAGTTCTGACATCTGAAGCAGCTGGTACCATCTTCTTTCAGTCATTTACAAGTACTTTCATGGACATAACCCCATTTTTGTTTGGGGTTGAAAATCTCAATTATAGCAAAACAAAGATCTTAGTGAGACAAACAAACTGTAAAAGATACATTTGAGGACTTAAAAGATAGGGAGAAGGGAATGTAGCTTATTTGGAGTCCTAACTGTTGATTATGGGCTTCAAGGAAACTTTGTGGAAAGACTGAACTATGGCTATATGTGGTTCTTAACTTTTGTACTTAAGTCCATAGTTATCACCTCTCCCTTTCTCCTGTAAAATTTCTTCCTTTAGATTGTATCAGATGTTGTGTCATTTTATTGCTAATTTGTTTCAATGAGTATTTCTTGTCATTTTAGTTATACTAACTTATTCTGCGAATCCCCACTTACTCGCCTCCATTCAGAGGGCTATTTGTAATGTCATAACCACTAAAAAGTTTGTTGATTGATTGACATCAATGATTGACACCCACATATTACACAATGATGACTCTTCTATTTGAGCTTAGCAAAATTGTTGTGGAATTCACTGCTAAATTAAACTACTGTATAGGGCGTTTTACAGTTTATTTCTGAAGTGACTGATTATATATCAATAGTAAAGAGAATTGACATTTGTGAAAATGAAAAGAAAGTAAACACTACTGCTGACTTCCATTCTTATTGTCATTAATGATATCTCAGTTTGGTTGTTTTGTGATGGAGAGCTATCTTACCTAGTCTTGTTATTTATTGTTGGGCTAAACTTGACTTGTGTTTACAGGTCTAGGTTCCAGTTCCATTGTCACTACTGTCTTGTTGTTCCCTTGAGCAAATCAGTATAACTTACTCTGAACTCACTTTCACCCTCTATAAATTTTGTGGAGATTAGCATTTTTCAGCTTTTAAGTTCAGGGGTACAAGTACAGGTTTGTTACGTACCAGTGCATGTATGGGGTTTGTTGTACAGATTATTTTATCACCCAGGTATTAAGACTACTACCCATTAGTTATTTTCCTGAATCTCTCCCTCCTCCCATCCTTCACCCTTCACCCTCCAAAAGTCCCCAGTGTGTGTTGTTCTTGTCTATACGTCCATGTAGTCTCATCATTTAGCTCCCACTTATAAATGAGAACATACAGTATTTGGTTTTCTGTTCCGGCATTAGTTTGCTAATGATAGTGGCCTCCAGCTCCATCCATGTTGCTGGAAATGACATCTCATTCTTTTTTAATGACTGCATAGTATTCCATAGTGTGTATTTACCACATTTTCTTTATCCTGTCTACAAGTGATGGACATTTAGGTTGATTCCATGTCTTTGCTATTGTGAATAATGCTGCAATGAACATACACATGCATGTGTCTTTATAAAGGAATGATTTATATTCCTCTGGGTATATTCCCAGTAATGGGATTGCCGGCTCAAATGGTATTTCTGTCTTTAGGTCTTTGAGGAATCTCCACACTGTCTTCCACAATGGTTGAATTAATTTACAGTCCCACCAACTGCGTGTACATGTTCCTTTTTTCTCCAAAACCTCACCAGCATCTGTTATATTTTTTAATTTTTTGTTTGTTTGCTTGTTTGAGACTGAGTCTCACTCTGTCACCCAGGCTGTAGAGCAGTGGCATGATGTCGGCTCACTGCAAGCTCCACCTCCCAGTTCAAGTGATTCTCCTGTCTCAGCCTCCTAAGTAGCTGGGATTTACAGGGGCACTCCAACATGCCTGGCTTATTTGTATTTTTAGTAGAGCTGGGGTTTCACCATGTTGGCCAGGCTGGTCTCGAACTCCTGACCTCGTGAGCCACCCACCTCATAAGCCTCCACAAATACTGGGATTACAGGCGTGATCCACCATGCCCGGCCCTTGACTTTTTAATAATAGCCATTCTAACTGGTGTTAAATGGTATCTCATTGTGATTTTGATTTGCATTTATCTAATGATCAGTGATGTTGAGCTTTCTTTCATATGCTTGTTGGCTTCATGTATGTCTTCTTTTCAGAAATGCCTGTTTATGTCCTCTGCTCACTTTTTAATGGGGTTTTTTTTTCTTGTAAATTTATGTTTCTCATAGATGCTGCATATTAGACCTTTGTTGGATGCATAGTTTGTACTTTTAGCTTTTACAAACAACTATATTATGTGAATAAAATGGGATAAGACTTTTGAAAGAATTTTGAAATGTTAGAAGGAACCTCGTTTTTTATATACCAAATGAATATAATCATTTTGTGTTTTTTTTAAACTGCCATTATATCCTTTAACAATCAAAATACTATAGCTCTGGTTTTTCAAATTAAATATAGACTGTTCATATTATACCTTATTAATTAGTACTACCAACTGTTGTTTTAGGTAATATTTCCTATCCATTAATAGCATTCGAGAAGGAATATTTTCTTCTCCTTAGAGATTCTCATAATTGACTGTGCAATGTTCTTGTATGTTCACACATCCTTTATTCTGCTTGTGCTTACTGGTTCTTTTGCCCCAACCTGTCTCCTACACAGCATAACTTGGAGCTGCTGCTAACATGAATCTGTGTTAGGAGGATGGGTTGTTTTTAAGAAAAAAGTAATGGGTTTGGATCCAAGGTGCTTTCCAAATAAAGTCCAAACTCTTAGTTTAGGGCTTTAAAACTTTTTCCTAACCTACTGTCCCAGTCTTAACCCTCATTCTGACCTCACTGGGGAATGTCATCATATGGTTAGAAACTTTACATTTTTCTTGTTTCTAACCCTTTGGTTACATCATTCTGTACATGCCTTTAAATAACATCTAGTCCATGAAGTCTCTATGGTCCTCCCACTGCAAATACTTTTTTCCTCTAGACTTCTGCAATTTTCGTGTCTACTTTTCTGATGGCATCTAGCCTATTCTGTTCTGTACTTTTATATTACTCTGTGTTTTGTTCATTTGTTGAGGGTTTTTAAAAACTCTTTTATTCTGTTTCTGTATCTGTTGACAAAACTGTGAGCTTTTTAGATGTGTTCTATTCCTTATATTCACAGAAGTGTCTAGGAGGTTTTTCTTGGGCAATAAGAAATAGTCTATAAAGAGCTGTTGAGTTAAATTGAATTGTTGGGCCGCACTTTCAGATACAAGTATGAAACTGAACATTACATGAAACTGGACAAGTTTAACGAATAAATTTATTCCAGTGTTAGTGTTTTGAAGAAGAGTCTTTAATGTGACTGGAAGAAAAGAATCAAGCTGTTTAACCAATAATGGTATCGAGTTTGGATAGCATGCTTGGCTAGAAATCAGCAAGCAGGTATCAAAGACATTGGGAGTCATGAAATGTTGTTCTACAAAGTTAAATACTTGATTAATGTTTTTTACATACAGGACACACATTTAAAGCACATGGTTTACCAAACATAAAAGGAGTGCACTAGAATTTGGGCAGGTTTTAAAAACAGAGAACGTGAATCCTGCATGCTTGAAATAAAACCTGTATTATGCAGTTTCCTCAGACCTTTGTTTGTTTAGGGAAAACAATAACATTTGAACAAATATTTTCAAAGAATGCTGTTTAGAAAGAAATCAATCTTGAACAAATATTTTCAGGTAGTACCACACTTAGCTTTGAGTTTTTTTTTTTTTTTTTAATTACGTGAAGGGATCTTTTCTGGATTATAACATTTCCTAGCATTTGGAATCTGATGAAGGCCACATCTATACAAAGAAATAGAGGTGTCACCATGAGCAGTCAGAGACAGGCTTCCTGAGCCTTTAAAATTTCTGTCCACGTATTTACATTTCCCTGGCCTACTTGATTCATGTGCTCTGTATTTTTTTCTTAGATTATTAAAACGGGAAGAAAGTTTTACATTCATTCCGCGGTCTCGTGAAGAGCTTCCAGACAACTTTCCAAAGGAAATTCCTGGGATCTGCTATTTCCTGGAGGTAAGGACTGGTCCAAAGCCACCAAAGCCTTCTCTTTCTTCGTCGAGAATAAAAAAGGTTTCCTACAACATCGGCACCATGTTCCTCCGGGAGACAAGCCTCTGAGACCTGCTACAGAACAAAGACTCCTCCAAAAAGCACAAGCCCAGAACATGGGTCACCACAGCGGGGGTGGAAAGAGATTGTGTCTCTTTCATTGCTTTGTTGAGAACAAGCAGCAAAATTTCTGTATTATGTCAGGCAATAATCCTACTAAAAGGTGGAGGTGACCGCTGTCAATACAAAGCCGGAGGATGAGGGAAATAAGATGTGTCCATTCATATGAGTGTTTTTGGTCATATATATATACATATATTTTAATTACAAGTGTGGGTCCCCTTTCAGAACTAACCAATAAATAGATTCCATGTTTTCTTGTTTATCACACATACAAGTATCTTTCCCTATATATTTGTACCACTTTTGAGAGCCAGTTTTGATTATATATTCCTACATTTAGTGAGTTGGTGGGTGAGGAATATTTTCTAAGTTTCTTTTTCTGAACAGACATTTCATACATGTATCATGGCAGTGTGGTAAACTTCCCAACTGGAAGAATTGTAACTCGGCAAAATATTTTAGGGATATTACCTATTTTTATACATATCTCTTCTAGATAACTACATTTCACACAACATTATTACATTTTCAGAATCTGCTTCTGTATTGTTAGTATATTATATAATACTAACCTATTAATCTAACATAGTTTCCCTTATTTAGAGAAATCAGTGCTTGGACTGAGAATACATATAACCAAGGATTTCAGATACCAAGAAAGCATTCTATGTCTGCTTAGTAAATATATCTTAGATTTAATTAATGTAGCATGGAATCCAGAGGAAATGGAATTTCCAAATACCAGATATATCTGTAACCAAGATTGAAGAAAGGTCTTTTTGCCACCTTCTAACAAATATCAGTTAAAATGAGATGCTTTGCTACACTGGACCCTTTTCAACTTAGCACTTATATAGGTAGCTTTTGCAACACTAAACTATATTCTAATAAACAGCATTCAACTAAATGACATGTTAGTTACCCCCTTCCTTTTCCCCAGTTGATGCCTCCTAAGAGCCGAATGCTATTCTTGAGAGCAAATTCCTGGATACTGGCATTAGTGACAAAGAAGTGTCAGGACATTTTGCCAAGAATGTTGTTTCTTCTTGTACAACACAAAGCAAGGAAACCTCTGTATTTTATGGCTTTGAGGTTTTAAAAAAATGTTCTGCAGTTTGATTGATACGGCTTTTAAATTCAGTGAATCACTTTCATGAATACTGAAGTAGCTATAATCTTCAGAACTAGTAATCATTATAGTTACAGATAGGATTCCATCGCATGTCCTGCTCAAATGAAGACCTGTTCTCATTAATCAATACTGCATGAAAATATTACTGGCTCACACTAAAATTAGGAGCATCATGTGTCCAGAGTTTTCCTGTTTGGGATCAAATATAAAATCTAAGTTTCTATTGAGGTTAATAAACTGGAAACATTTGTTTCCTTGAAACCTTGGAGAGGTCATTTTCCTACTCATTGATAACTTATGTCTAACTGAATGCAATATTCTTTTCTGTTCAGGGATTTTGGCTGCATTATGGTTTGGTTATGACATAACTCAGTTAAAGAACATATTTACTAATTTCCAATGTAGTCTATGAGGCTTATTTAATGTTTTTAAATTTTCTATTTGTGTGGCTAGAAGGCATTTGTAGATATGCAAATATTTGTTATAATCATGATCCCTTTTATAATTTGAGTTATTTTCTTGCCCTGGGGGTTTATAAGGGCACGAGTACAACACTCTTTATGTGGAGAAGACAGGAAGTAGACCTTGAACTCTAAACCTTTGCCTGACCCCCTCTTCTGTGGGCCTGTGTCTCTGGACAATGAGGAGGTTTACAGTCAGTATGAGCAGAGCAGGCTGGGAGCCCCTCAATCCTCATGCTTATATTAGAAAATGCCTTAGCAATGTTGATGGGCTCCTTGTAGCACTGGAGCATGGGGAGAGAACAAGCTCACTGATGTCGTTTATTATGTCTTCAGTAACTTAGAACTTATTATGGTATATTAAATCAATAAACATGTTGGTGATGAACAATGAGTTCTGTAACCATAAGGCTGAAAGGGACTTCCAGGAATATCCAATCTATTTCTCTCACTTTTTGTAAAGATTTGTCTAAGCAACTACAAACACATATTTATTCTCTCCATACTTAAGAATATCTATGGGAAGCATATTTGAAAAGCATCATTGGAAATCCACCTCATTACTAGTGATAGGCCTGGAGAGAAGTATTGTATTTATATATCTCAATTTGTCAGAAGAATCACAAATTCTGTATTAGTTTATATGATTTGACTTAGAGAAGACGTATCCATTTACATTGCCATAAATGTCACGATGAAGAACGTGCCAGAGATTTCTTATCTGTCACCGACAGGATGTCAACTAAATTTTTCATATGTTATAATCTAAGTGTATATTCAAAGCTATAGTCTGAGATAATGGTCCAATCTGTTATCATTTTGCTAATCTATTATAGTTGATTATTGTAGTTACAATGTTTCTATATGTTTGTGAAGTACTATATAAAATGTCTGTTCATTCAAACTTCAATCACAGAAGTTAGAAGATGGAGAAAGAATTATATTTTTATTTGTCCTACACAATGCCATCTACATCTCTTCTCTTAGGAACTGTGATTGTAACAATGTGGTGGCATTTGTTATTTCATATGACTTATCTATATTCTCACTTACTTACAAACTATTACCAACAGCATGCATTTTAGTATGGCAGATAAAAGAAATTTATGTGATATTTCCTTAGAAACCAAATGATATCAAATTGGGGAAATGGTTTTAACCCACTCTACAAGGGATACTTTAAAATATAATTTGGCACCTATAGCTCTTGCATTTTAATGTTCTTTTAAGCTGCTATTTGGAAGAAGGCAACTTATAACTGGCCATTAGCACCAAAGCATCAATCACATTGGTATCAGGATTATGTTGATGGAGAGAATGTCATCATTTGCAAATAAATCAGTTATCTAACAAAATCAGAATCCCCCAATATGTACTCAGAATGTACTACCCTGTATCTTCTTTGTGGACCTTAATAATTAGGTATCATTGACCATAATAAAAAATAATAATATGCCTCAGAAACATAGTAGTTGGATCTCTTGTCTATATAATATAGAGAAGGGGAAGAAGACATAGCTTCCAGGTAACATGGGACCCAACTGCCTACAGTCTGCCTTTATTCATCTCTTGCTCTATATTTTAAGTAATCTTGGATTTTCCTTTTAATATCTGATTATGTGGAATCAAGTGAGCTTTGATCTGGGACTCTGAGACAGACATTGATGCCTGAGATTTGAGGGTGGGTCCGTAGGTTCAGCACTTCAAATGTTATTTCTCACAGTCTTGCACTCCTTCCTCTTGTCCAGTGACAATGGTGTCAGGACACAGTAGTTTAGTGTGAATGTGCATGTCTCTCCAGGAAAAGCAAAGCAAAAGAGAATAACAACTTAAACAAAATCTCATTCACAAAGGGAGCAAGACTTTTAACTTTGCAAATGCCTCTAAAGAGTTCTAGCAATATAAAGCGAAATTAAATTGATAGATAACAAAAGGCAAAGCCATGGAGAATTCTGAAAACCCCACCAGGCATTGTGTTTTGTACAGAATCATATTGCTGCTGAACAAAACGGTGTGTGTATCTAAAGTCGTAAGGCATCAAGTAGGAGCTCAAAATTATGACCATCATTAAATATATTTGTGGAAGTCTTCTTGGGTTCCAGACTTTCTGAGGGCAAGTGTTGTGGATGGTTAAGGCAAAAAGTAAAACTTTTACACACAGGTTTCTGTCTTGTCATTTTGAGAATGACTCAGCCCATTCTAGACCCTTTCTTACTCCATTCTGTCCCTAGAAACTATCTCACCCCTCAAGCCTGGCCACAGCAAACAGCATTCTCTCTTCACTTCTGAACCCAGAATGGCTACAGAAAGGGTTGCTGGTGCCTCATTCAGGCAGATAGGAAGGACCACACACAGTCAGGCCTGAGTAACAATGTACTTTTGAAGTGTAGTAATGAACTGGACGTGCCGGGGCATTAATTATGTCTGCAGCTTCTCCCTCTGCTCTTTCTTCAAAACCCAGTCTGACTCCAAGCACTTCATGCAACTTCACTGAATGTTCCTTTGAAATTAATTATAAATGACTCTGAACAGGCTTTGGGTAGTACTAGATGCCTTTCAGCCGACAATATCTAGAAACTCAAGTCCAAGAACCAAGCCCTATATCGTAGCTTAGTTGTTTCTACTGTTAGATTATAGACCTTCAACTACAAAAATTATGTCATTTCAGAGGCTTCTATAAGCATAGCCTAATAGATCTAGCCCAAAAATCATGATGCGTAAGAGACTGAATTATTAAGATTTAACATATTTCTAAACAATTTATGGGCAGCTCTTGATATGAATATTCCTAAACCACAACCAGCTGGTTTAACATACACATAAATTGTGTTCACGTGATTGAACAAAATGTATCGTTAAATGGGAAGTTGACCCCAGGTATGGACTCAATTTCAAGATCCTCGTGGTGGTGAATGAAGAGCAGACACTGATATTATGTACAGATTAACATAATCTTGTCAGGCTATATTGAGATAGTGTGCAAAATTCCTTCCTCACACTTGATCCAAACAATTGAAACCTACATATTACTGTTCTTCCATCCTTTGTTTTCTTCCTTCCTTTATTCCTTCTTTAATTAAAAAAAGTCATTGATACATTTATAACACAGGAAGTATCACAGCTAATCTCATATTCTAAAATAGTTTTATAAAGTGATTACTATTTTTAGTTTGTGTATATGTATATGTGTGTTTATTGAATGTAGATGTTTCATTATTGAAAGAAATAAGTTTCTTTGGAAGGAAAGAGAAGTTTGTGTCTTTATTTCTAATATGTTATAACCAGATCATGGTTTCAGTTAAGCACTTCATTGCCATTCAATCCTTATTAAGAAATGACCAGCCGGGCACGGTGGCTCACGCCTGTAATCCCAGCACTTTGGGAGGCTGAGGCGGGCGGATCACGAGGTGAGGAGATCGAGACCATCCTGGCTAACATGGTGAAACCCTGTCTCTGTTAAAAAATACAAAAAATTAGCCAGGCGTGGTGGCGGGCGCCTGTAGTCCCAGCTACTCGGGAAGCTAAGGCAGGAGAATGGCGTGAACCCAGGAGGCAGAGGTTACAGTGAGCTGAGATCGCGCCACTGCACTCCAGCCTGGGCAACAGAGAGAGACTCCGTCTCAAAAAACAAAAAAAAAAAAACAAAAAACAAAAAAAAAAAACAACGAATGACCTAGTTCAGTGGTTTAACTGATCTGCTTGGAAGTATCTGGCTGGCTTCATAAGAATTCCGTAGGGAGTTTTAGGAATACAGAAGACTAGTCTTTACCTTCAGAGATTTGAATTCAGTAGGTCTCGGGGAGGGCCTAGGAATCTGTGTTTAGAAAATCAGTAATGCTAATATACAGCCAGACTTGGGAATCATTGAAAAGTATTCAAATAATCTCAATTACTAGGAGTAAATACAAGCTAACGAGGATAGTAATGTTATTTCATTTGTAGTTATTTTGAAAAGTTAAATACTCTAGGCCTCATACCATTATTTCTTTCACAAATTTTAGTTTTGGATTTGATTTCCAAATTGTGGTCTTCTTTCTGAGCATACATCTTCAAACTTAGAGACAGATGTCAACACTGATAAGCATGAGGGATGAATATTGCTCACTATAGGGCTATTAGGCATACTAGATACAGTACTATTTTCTTAGTTACTGCCAGAGCTGTGCGGTATATTGCAACATTTGCTAATCCTCACCACCGAGGTAAAAACTATGACCTTTGGGACACAGAAGCAAATATCAAAGTGACAGCCTTACTCCTGAATGCTTTGATTTTTATGTTATGAAAAGACACCAACTTAATATTTAGTCTCACTATGTACTTTTCATATTGAATTGTATATTACCTGAAAAGGGATTTCCAAGCAATACCTTCTAACAACCTTTCAAGCAATAATTTAAGCCATGGTGATGATGCCATATGAAGCTTGCACTTCTTTGCATTTCATAGAGCCTTTGTGAAAACAGAAACATGTTTTATACAAGCAATAATACAGCTGGTGTGGACTTCTTAAAGATATTCATTATTCTGTAGCAAAATGAGCAGCAAGTAATGACTCAGATTAAAAATATCTGAGCAAATGATATGCTTAATCTATCTCAGAAGTTATTCATTTGCAAACATGCTGTAAAGTGATTAATATACATCAGATTATTTCTGGTGCATAATTTTTAAAATGGCTATCAAAATATGATTTCTATTCCTGTCAAAGAGATTTGTGTATTATTTATAATGTTGCCCAATTTTTGGATCTTTGTAGTATATAATAGTAAAGAAGAAGTTAAGGATGGATAAATGAGTGGAAGTAGAGCATAGGTTGGAAGGTTGGAAGAGAGGTGATTGAGAAAGTAGGCTTTGCAAAAATATAGATTGGTCTCGGGGCGGATTAATTCAAATGTTGGTTTGATACGGTCTTGGAAGATGAAAGAATAAAGATAAAAGAGCTCATTATTACTGTTTTCAATGATAGCTACACAAGTGTTTGGTAAGTATGATAGTATTTTGACTTCAGAATATGATTGACTGAAAGTCACCTGTACTACAATAAATGTCTGAAAATGATTATTCAATAATATTGAAAAAACAGTAAAGCTTTCAGATTTTGAAATGAAAAAAATCATGTTTTTAGTCTTCTTAAAATACAATTTTAATAGAATGTGGCATACTCAATGATAATCAGTTCTTTAGTAGTTACATTTACTTTTCCATCATTTAGAATAATATATAAGGATCACAGCTAAAATCAACTGGTAAATTTATGTTTACACTGGGCAATATCTAAACATCAGATTATTATTTAGCATATAAGCTTAGGATTCATTCCTAAGCACCTAAATAAGATGACAGCTCCTATAATTGCCTAGTGAGGTAAACAATCCTCTAAACGTGAATATGAACACATTTGAATGGTGGGTGTCTTTGGTAGTATTTTGTCTTTAACTTTTTATTACTCATAGCAAAACTTAATTTAGCATCCGCCTGCCCACAGTTTGGAAAATTTCCCTATCAAAATCAAGCAGGATTGTTGATTCACTGAGGCTTTGACAATTATCCTCTTGTATATCACTGGATCCTTAAATCCTTAGTAAGAATGGTTTTGGGTTAAATAAATAATGGAATATATTTAATTTGAATCTATTAAATTACACTGAATTTATCCTTCCAGTTAATTCATCTAGTTGCTGATCGGATTATTCTTTATATTAGACTTAAGTACTTTGCTTATTATTTAAAAGCAGAAAAGAAAAACCAAATGGCAGGTCTGAGTATTAGTTTCTTTTTGATTCTTTTGATACGTATTTTTAAAATGAAGAAATCACTTTATATTCAGTCTTCCTTTGTGGACTTTCTGCCATTTGCAGATAAAGAAGGAATTCTACTTAATATGTTTTTACTGTGGTCTATTAAATGTCATTAAACCTATATCTAACAGGAAAGTAATAACTGGAATAAAATCAGAAATGTGCAAAATTGTTTCTTCACACCACCTCACTTTCTGAAGACAATTCTTTGCATTTTGCTGCCTGACATTTACACATCAGACTTAGGACAAAGGGACAAATGGAGTGAGTGAGGTGGGCAGGAGCTTTAGATGAGATGAAGCGAAGAGAGTTAATTTTTTCTTCAGGAAGATGTGGAGACTCTTAAAGGAGAGGCAATTTCTGTAACAAACACCTCTGGTTTAATAAAAGCCAAATTATTTATTTGACTACTGGTCACTCATTTTTAAAAAGAAAAGAGAAAGACAAAAAAAGAGAAACCCTTCACAAGCCATTTTTAGCTTTCCTCGGAGGTAGTGCCAACCTCTAGGCAGCTGCACATCTCAGTGAAGCTGGGATAGAAGCTTACCGAGCTACAAATAGACACTTTCTGAAGGTGGCAGATAGAACTAGTGTTGGTTACAATGATGAAGGTAAATGAAAGTGTCAGAACATCTGGGTTGAAGGAACAAAGAAGGCCAAATACCAGCTCTGCCATATGCCACAGAAAACCCTACTAAAATTAGCACAGAAAAACAGACTAACAGTATGCAAGTGATATTAAAACAAACTATATTTTTTCCTTTTATAACATGCCTGGCTGAGCTAGCATTCAGTGAGAAGAATACACTTTTGTCTCATGCATCATTTGAAAAAAAATTGTTGTTCTGACATTAAAGAAATTATATATTCCTTTATAGTTGGAAAATTTAATCACAAATAGGAAATATTTATTTTGTGTTCTGAAATTTGTAAACTTCTTTTGGGAGCTGTACTCTATGTCATATTCTTCTTCACACTTTTCTCAAATTGGGTTTGGCTGCTAGCAAGACAAGTGTGGAACTTTAGAGCAGAAAGATGTCCATCCATCCCTTAGAGAATGTGCCAGAGTATTTGAGCTGGAGAGAGAATCACCCCGTAGCACTTAATGGTTTTCTGTGAGACATGAAGACTCTAGTTTTCTAAACTTAAAAGTGGTTGGGTAGTATCTTAATCATCAAAGATTTTTCACTTACATGTAACTGGTTAATTCATGCAGAGTTTGTTTAGAACAGAAACTTTAAAATGAGGGAACAAACCTGAGCAATTTTCAATCAAAATTATCAGTTAGAAGAAGAATTTAAGACAAAGATTTATTGTCCTGAGTCAACTTACTCATATCCAAAACTTAGAATGTGAGAGACTTTTGAAAGTTTTCTGAATGTATCATGTTCTTCAGCAATGAGAAATACAATTAATTTTGTTTCTAGGTTCCTTAGAGTTTTATCCTCTGATGATAACATCTAATTGTGAATTACATTTAAGTGATTTTTACTTTATATTTTCCACTTGTTGCAGAAAAAAAAAATGTCCTAAATATGACAGACTTACAAATCATGGCATTGAGCCAGGGTTTGCAAATTTGGCAATATTATTTTACTTAAACTATTACACTTTTTAAAATAATATAAGCATTAAGGATAACAGTCAAATAATACTGTATTTTCAGCTTGTTCACATTAGAATATAGAACAATGCATTGTAAACTCGGAATAAAATCTAATTCTAAACCAATTTATGTTCAAATCATTTGAACAATAAATATGAATATTGCTACATCACCTCTGACTAATAAGAAACTATGCATTTCCATACCCAATGAAACCTCAGTTTCTACAGCAATTCTACTTTTATTGCCTCCCAAGAAGTATTTCTTCATGGTCAATGTAACTCTTTAAAGGCTAGCAAATGAATATGACTTTCTTCTGAGGTTTGGGTGATCTGGATCAATATGTATGTTTCTAACCACTTGAAAGGCTGTCTCCTGTTTTAGCCTTTTAAGTTAAAATTTCCATAAAATGAAGCAAAATATGAAAACACCTAGTTGATTTATCAGTAACGTGAAACCCTCCTTCTGAATTTTATTGGTAAAAATTACCACACTGAAACCAAAACTTAACCTTGGCTTGGACTCTCAAATAAATTGCTTTTGTATTCTTTGACTACAAAGTATTCTCAAAAAGAAGAAATTATTTCCGATGGTAGATCAAACTCTAGCCAAGAAGGTCTAGATAACTAGAGGAGTGTATAATTATCTAAAGTAATTCAGGGGGATTTTTAGGAAAAAATCTGTTTTTGTATAAAAATTATTAGTAATGGATGGCAGCCCAAATTACTATTCCTCTTTTAAAATTTGTTTCAAGTGTGTCACCAGGCACTCATAAAATTCATTTATTTGTTATATGACCCAATAACCCGAAATAATAGGTGCTCGTTGCTTTTTCTTTTGATCATTAAAAACACCTTTATTCTGTTTAAAAAAAATTATCCTACTAAAATGCAAATGATTACCTGGCTATAGGAGGAGTCCCATTTTATGAGCATGTATGAAATATTTAGCTGGATTCAGCTGGAATGCAACTTAGAGAAAGGAATGGATACCAGTAGAGAAATGGAAAGAGACAGAAAAATCAAACTTTGCTTACATCAAAATTAGGTCTGTAGTCTAATCCTGTTAAGCTATAAGAAAGCTGAAAATAGATAAGGATAAATAATAGATTTTTAAACAAAGTATTTATATTTAATAGAATGTCATAAAAATGACAGAATGCCATGAAATTCAGCATGTCAAAACTTTGATAAAACAAACAATAAATATGCTAATTAGAGTGAATATTTAAAGGGACAAAAAACTTGTCACATCATAGATGTCTCCCCATTGCAGAATTTATTATCTGCTGGGAAAATTTGGTATTATGTCTTCAATCAATATTTGCTGCATTATCTAATTAAACATTAGTATAGTCTTTGTGCTAATGAGAAACCATGCAAGAGTCCAAATATCAAGTGTGGCTATAACTTGAATCAATTGAGTTTGGTGTTCCTGAATAAAATTCTTGATGAATGTAAAATGAATGGGTTGTATATATAGGTTTTATGTGCAGTAAATAAATTAGGCTTTAAAACTTGTTAGCATGCTTAGCACCTCTTTTTTCCATTGTCTTTCCTTCCTTCCTTCCCTTCCTTCCCTTTCTTCCTTTCCTTCCCTCCCCTCTTTGCTTTCTTTCTTTCTAGCTCTTAGAAGATAAATGACAATAGTACTTTACTATTGGGGCTGAGGCCTCCCTTTTTCACTTTCACATGATTGAGCACTTTGTGGATTTGTGAGGGAAGGGGAAAGATGAGCATGTAGATATAGATCAGTTGAGGATAGAAGTGACAGAGAGAATTGGGACCTTGACTTCCAGAGACTGTCAGTCAAGAGAAATGTGGGTCTATACAAATCTATGTGTGTCCATTTTCATTGAATTTAAACACTTTTTCAAGAAGTATCAGGGTCAATCTGTATGGCCAGTCTCCTATTTTTACCCCCTACAAATGTCTTAAGTTAGAAAAACCTCTTATTTTCAAGTAGCCATTTTTTTTTATGTGAGTACCACACTGCTAAAAGACTGAAATAGAAAAAAAATGCTTTTTCTATTTGTAGGGAAATTGCTTTCTGAAAACTACTCCCAATAAGGTGTATACATCAAAAGCAACTTGATTTTCCTGGCTCTTCATCTAGAGATAACTGATGCACTGTCTTCTTTCTTAGATACCCCTCTGTAATTCAGCTTGGCATAGTATGATGTTTTGAGTTCTTATTGAGGGTTTGGAAACATTTGTCATCAATTTTATGTCTACTCTATTGAAAAAGCAATACACAGTGTATTCCATATTTCTTAGCTCTGTGTCTTTGAGGTTTTAAACCTATATTCAGATAGCTGTTTTTAGCTACAATTTTGAGTATTCACCAGAATTTACAAATTGCCATTTTATTAAATACAAAAAAAGAAAAATACAGCTTGGATCAAGAGATCAAACATTTACAAATCTCAATCCAAAGCCATTATTTTTCAGGGAAAATTAAACCATTTCTCGCAGAGTATTTGATTCCTAAGGGAAAATAAGTCAAATATCTTCTTTAAGAGTAAGGGTATTCTTCCATTGTAGGTACTTCTCATTGACTTTATAATAATTTGAACAAATCTTGAACAAGATTTAAAGAATCTATGATCTCCCAAACTTAAAATTGTATTCTTTCTGGCTTTTTATTTTCAGGTATTAAGATTATATTCAAACCACTTTACAAATTATCTTCATAAGTTTGTGTTAATTAATAGAAAATTATACAGGGAAAAAAACATGATTAGTTCCTCTGTGGAAAGATATGCTTCAGTGAGTTAAATACCCTTGAATTTTGGTTCTCATTTCGTATTTGGACTTTTTTGTTATGTACCTCAGGGGTCTTAAATTCTAACAGACGAGGTAGTCAAAGAAAGGGGTATAAAATATTTGAAAAAAAATTAAAACTTCAAAAGCAATGAATTTCTCTGTTAACTTTTGTTTATCCTATATTGACTTATTTTGAAATTGTAAAAAAACAGGCAGCTACCATATAAATCGGTACCTATGAAAATACTGATTACTTTCTTCCTGTGATTTTCAATGTTAAGAAAACCTTTGTCTTGAAATGATAGACAATCTTAATACGTGTTCAGATAAAGAAATATGATTTTCAATACCTTTACCATTTTTATTTCTTTAGGGAAATATTTTAATAATGATTGTAAAAATAGAAGAAATATGGTTGAGAAAAACAGAAGAAATTAAGATGAAATTTGAACAGCTGTAATCCACAGTCCCATTTTTCCCTCTATTTTATTGCCTTCTACTGAGTTATCGAAGGCCCAGATCTGCAAAATTTACAAGCTACTAATTCATTGTCTCCTTTAAGAATTTGGAGCAAAAATTACTCCAACTATGCGGAAATCGATTCACATCATCATGGCAGGTTTTGACTATGAGGGAATTCAGGTTAGAGTCAAATAGAATAATGGTCCATGGAGAACAATACTTTCTGATTTTTCTTCAAGTTGGATGAAAAGCTTTTTCTTCATTTTAAAAAAAAAAAAAAAAAAAAAAGTCCTCCTGAGAATTTTGCCTTCGAAAAAGTCAGAAGTTTTATAACAGCTGCCTGTAGCTACATTATAACTTCAGTAATCAAGTGACAAAACTGTCTCATTATGCTTTTAAAATACTGATTAAGTGCATTCCAGAAATAATACATATCATTCTTCATTTCAAAATCAACCTACCTGAGTTCTGACTCTTCAAATGCGTGTAGCCATTTTACAAAACCAAAGGGTCTCATTTCCCAAACAGTACTTTAAATATCTAACTTAATCCTATTAATACTCATATCAATGCACAAAATAAACAGCCAAGGCAGTTCCATCAAGTCTTCAGGCACTACATAATAATAAATAGGTTTCCAAAATCACTTAATAAAAACACAGTTATAATGTGCTCGGCCTTCATTAGCATCCTCTGCATGGGGTGGTCTTCATTTAACCTGAATTATTTTAACATTTTAGCTAATTTGTTTGCTGCAATTTCATGGGTCTAAATTTTTGGTTTGGCTTGCAATGTAAATTATATTGTACATCTGCTCCTCTGTTATTAGATTTACTTTGTGAATAATATCTTTTAAAACTTGAGTTATCAAAAACTTAAATTATGATGTCATCAACTAATACCAGGTAAATATACTAATATATATGTAGGGCATGATTAAATTGCATATATTTTGAAATGTCAAACTATTTTTTGTTTTTTAAAAAAATGAATGCATCTCTTAAACCTGTACCATTCATTTTAAAAGTTTCATTTGGTATTTCATATTATATTTTAAAATATTTTTCTGTATCTAGTAGTACAGGTTTAAAGAAACTTTTTCTGATTGAAATGATAAAATATGCCTCATTTCACTAGAATTTTAAGAATACATGTAAAAGTATAACTCATATAGAATTATAAATATCCACAATATCTTGCTTTTCATGTAACACCACTTTTTACTTATTCTTTTGTTATTATTCTAAATCATCCACAATGTAAATAGCATGTTTCATGATGTAAAATGTCTTTGTATTTACAGACTGCAGCACAAGGTGAATTTGTATATGAAAAATGAGTGATGGAAATTTGGGATTCTTATAAAACAAAGTGGAAATGATCGTTGTGTGTTATATTTACATAATTCATTACAAAATTGTCTAGTTAAGTCATGCATTTATTTACCTTAAAAATGTCCAAACTGTCACTTATAAAATATTTAAATCAATAAATAATACCAAAATGGAGTCTGAACATTCTTTTAGCATTTTTTTCCACACAGAGGTGGTGAATAACAATGCCTAAGAATGTGAATGAATAATAGATGAAAGAATGGGGGAAAGAATATAGGAGTGAATGGGATGTTCATAATACATTACCTTTATGGTTACAGATGCAGCTGCTGACACAATATTTGACAAGGCTAATTTTGATTTTTTTTTTTTTAACATGCAATCTCTTTAGTCCTCTTGCAAAATCAACGAGCACAGATTATAATTACTGTAGTGCTATGTACCTCAAATATATATATGACAAAGAAAAGGCATAACTCAGCTGTCTTCTGACTAGCCAGTTGCCTTCTTGAAAGGACAGAGACAAGGGTTCATATTACTATCATAATTAAATGTCAGTTGAATGCCTGCTGAGTAACTTTCAAGAGCATAACCATCAACCAGATGAGCTGCAGCACATACCTATAAGAGGACAATTTTATTCCAATGTTCCTATACTCCAGCAGCTTATGTATGCAGAATCAAGTTATCTTTGTTATTCAATGGCCCTCTCTTTTATAACCATTTTGTCTCAACCATACAAATTTCCATCTATTTCTAGAAGTTCCTAAGGGAGTCTTCATTCCTGTGTTCACAAAACAGGGCTGTTCTCATCTTCTGCCCTTGTCTTCGTGTTATCTGCTGCTCAGAAGCCATGCTACTCCTGAGAACCACTTCCCTGACCATATGAGAATTGATACTGAGTAGGTAAAAGAAGAAGAAACACCTAATGAATAGTTCTTAAATGATAATCACTGTAGAAGTGCTTTTATGAACAATTTTCTCAACTACATCTTAATAATCCTATAAAGATCTGCTTTCTTCATTTTAGAGGTAAGAAAATTTAAGCAGAGAGAGAGACTAAGAAGTTGTCTGTGGCATAGGCAAGTCAGAATAACAACACATGATGAGGCCTTTTGTTAATAATTTGAACTTTCAGGAACTTAACTACAAGGCAGACTGCAGTTAAGTGATATTGTGCTCAGGAAAACTAGAAATGGTTTTGCCAAAGGACTAGCGGGTTTTGACACAATTGCCCTTCTGCATGCCAAGTACTGATTTGCACACTTTCCTGAGTAAGTAGAATGCCTTCAGGTTCCTCTGCATAGAGTATCTTTCAGTTACAACAGCTGGCTCAAGTCCAGATGTGCTGGGTGATATGCAGTCATCTCCATCATCAACTGGTCACTTAGGAACCCAAGCACAAATGTCTGCTTTCTCCCTCTCTACCCCCACTCCCACATAAATATATGTGTGTATACATAGTCATATAGATAGATGAGTGAAAGACAAAGACAAAGGCATAAATTCAATAAATGTTAAGGAGGAAAGGGAAAACACATTGTAATTCTCTGGTTCATGGCATGATAGACAGGTATTAAGAAGCCCCTGCCCTGGCTGGAGTCTCTATGGGGAATCATTATCTATGGCCTCCAGTTCCATCTGTAGCACTCGTCTCCATTGGCTGGGAAGTTCTTCCTTGCTCGTTCCATACCATGGCTGCATCTGTAGTGGATATTAGGAAATATGCCTTCCTTGGGAGCTTTATAGCTTTCACAGCCCACTCCCTGCTAGTATATCTTTGTCATGAAGCAATAAATTTGACTCACTGGATCATTTTGAAATATGATCCAGGAGAGGATCACATTTGTCTTTGTTGTTGGACAAAACAGTCACCTTAAAACTTGAAAGGCTTCTGATCTGCTTGCTTCCAGTCTGTCCCATGTGAGACATCCAAACCACGGTTATCTCCTAGATCAAGTTTTTATTCCTGCCTTATTTCTTTGTCCCTTAATTTAATGGCAGCTACTTCGATGTCACACAGAACTGGAAGGAAGGTTTGGGAGGGGAAGTAGCACTCTTTGATCTTTGCTACAGAGTCAAGTCCCTTGGGTAAAATGAGAAGTCTTAATGAGTTGCTTGCTGTTGCTCAGTCCTTATCAGCCTTGTCTCCTTTTCTTGAAGGACAGAAGTCATTGGCACTCTCTAGTTTCTGCCTGCAAACCACCGAGGTTTGTCCTAAACCTTGTAACACAAGGAGAAGCCAACACTTACTCATATTCTGGTTCCCCTCTACCACTCTCCTATAAATGTAGACACTGAGAGCACTTAATCCGCCTTCCAAGTTATCCAAGGTCAGCATATTTACTAAGTATTTTGCTACCACCTAGCTCTTTTTGATCTCAGAAGCTGCCACCTTGGTTCTCAGCCAGTGCCACAGAATTTAGGCTTTTGTTACAGGAGCACTCATCTTCAAGGCTTCATATTCTGCATATTACTTAGGCTAGGTTAAACAATCCAAGCAGATAAAGACCTCTTACAATAAATGTACATTTCCCACTAATATATCAGGCCAGAAGGGTACCAGATTGGAGTAAAGCTGCTTCATGCTATTTAGAGGCCCAGGCTGATGGGGACTCTACCTGTTAAGATTTCATAGGCCAGGGCTGGGCGCGGTGGCTCACACCTGTAATCCCAGCACTTTGGGAGGCCGAGGCAGGCAGATCACGAGGTCAGGAGATGGAGACCATCCTGGTTAACACGGCGAAACCCCGACTCCACTAAAATTACAAAAAAGTAGCCAGGCCTGGTGGCGGGCACCTGTAGTCCCAGCTACTCAGGAGGCTGAGGCAGGGGAATGGCATGAACCGGGGAATGGCATGAACCTGGGAGGCAGAGCTTGCAGTGAGCCAAGATCGCGTCACTGTACTCCAGAATGGGTGACAGAGTGAGACTCCATATCAAAAAAAAAAAAAAAAAAGATTTCATAGGCCAGGCCTGGTGACAGTGGTAGTGGTAATAGCACAGATCACTTTCACTCACATTCCTACCTCTAGAATCAGTCGCACAACCAGATCAAACTGCCAAAAAGATGGAACATGCACTCCAGTTGCATACCTGTATGAAAGAAATAGCTTTCAAACACTCGTTAAAGATAAGGCAGATTGTATTGTGGGATACCGCAATGGGGTTCTGCAGTAGGGGAGAGAGATTGGGCTCAACTTTAACTCCAACAAGGACCAGTGGGGATTTACAGCCAAGGAGCAGGGTGGGGGTCAATGGAGGGATGGAAAATTACCAAAAGAAATCAAAGCTAGGGAAAGTCTGGCTAAACATCTGACAGGATTCTTGCTGATGAGAGGTCAGCATGAGGAGATATTGAGAGTGGAAGTTGAGGAATTTGATCAAATATTGACAGTGATCAGATATCCAGGGTTGAGCCATTTCTCTAAGCTGACTCAGCAGGATGAATGCTAAAACTGGCTAAGCAGGACAAGGTTGGGGCCTAATCAGACAGGGGGCTGAGAGGACTCTGACTCAGGTTTGGTTAAGGAGGGGGTCACTGTCACCAGAAAGAAGAGTAGGGATTTTGGTGGACAGCTATTTCTGCCACAATTGTATTTTTTATTTTGAGATTATTTATCTTATTCTCAGGAAAATGAAACTATCTCAGAATTAAAGCTATGTCTTTCTATTCAAAACAGAGCTGGGATCATTCAAAATCATAATTTTAATATCAGCCATGAGATTGTCTTGGTTCTCTAATTCCCATGGATAGAGATGTTCTAACCAAATGATGATTAGTATCTGCAAACAAATCCCCCAAATAAAACACTGACTAGACCACAGATCCCACAAGGTTCTCAGTTTCCTCTCGAGTGAGCTACAGTAATCAGGAAGGGACTTCAATGGATAGTGTAGTCATCATCACCATGATCAAATAGGATAAAGGTAACAAATTCCTTAGGACAAAGCCTCCCCATCACTATTTCCTCTCATCTATATGCCAAGCATTAAGTTAAAAGGGCCTAATGATCCAGTTGAATAGAATTGCTGGCATATACAAAGTGCATATGCCATTAGAATTACAATGAGCAGAACAAGGGAAGTAAGTAACTCTTTTCCATCCCAGATAGATTACATACAGTTCTGGGTTTTCAGCATTACACTTCAAACCTAGGACATTTTCCATTATGAGGAGGCAATACCTGTACGATTTCAATTTTCAAAATACAAAAGTTATATAGAAGCATGTTACCAGACTTTGACCTGAATGTCTGCCTTTTAGTTGAAAGTTATGACTACAGAAACAAAAGAAGCAAGCACGTGGTGTTATAATTTAAGCGTGTGATATTAGCAATTACACAGACCTGGAATCAATCCCAGCTATGCAATTTATTTTATGTTTATTTATTCATTTATTTATTTTTATTTGTGTAAATTTAGGGGGTAAAGTGCAATTTTGTTACATGGATATATTGTGTAGAAGTGAAGTCTAAGTTTGTATTTTCTATTTATTTATTTAATTGTTGAGATGGAGTCTCATTCTTGTTGCTCAGGCTGAAGTGCAATGGCACAATCTCTGCTCTATCCAAGATTAGACCAATTACATCTTCTTCGAAAGGCTAAATGTGCAATATTAGCTAAATTAACTTATAATTAAATTATAATCTCAAGATTTATTTATCCGCCTCCTGGGTTCAAGGGATTCTCCTGCCTCAGCCTCCTCAGTAGCTGGGATTACAGGCCTGTGCCACCATGCCCAGCTAATTTTTGTATTTTTAGTAGAAATGGGTTTTCACCATGTTGGCCAGGCTGGTCTCTAACTCCTGACCTCAGGTGATCCACCTGCCTTGGCCTACCAAAATGCTGGGATTACAGACATGAGCCACCGTGCCCGGCCAAGTCTGGGTTTTTAGGGTATACATTACCAAAATAATGTATATTGTATTCATTAAGTAATTTATCCTCGTTCACCACCCCCCACCAACTCTCCCCATTTCTGAATCTCCAACATCCATCAGTCCACACTGTATGTCTGTGTACGTATTATTTAGCTCCCACTTATAAGTGAGGGCATGCAGTAGTTGTGTTTCTGTTTGAGCTGTTTCACTTAGGATAATGGTTTCCAGTTCCATTTATGTTGCTGCAAAAGACACAATTTTATTTTTTATGCCTGAATAGGATTCCATTATGTATACA